GTCTCGTCTTGGTATCGAGAGCATTTTTACTTGGTCTTGTCTCAGTCTCAGTTTTTGTGGACTTTGGGGTTTTCACATGACCGGTCGAGACCATTGCTGACAGGCTTTTGTCCGTGCATGTCTCACTGATGAGAGGACACCATAACATCATTGGTAGTCTAGTAGCCATAGGCACCGACCTACTGCACACTGCAGCGCCAAACGGACAGTGTTAGGCAAGTTACTTCAAAACTGTAATGCCTTATTTATTACTTGTTACCCTCATTTTACAGTAATTCGTTACATTACAATATTACTGATTTTAAAATGTAAGGCATTACACTACTTTTGCATTACTTTAAGTTACTTTCACCAAAACAACTTCAATATGAATCTGGTAATCTGACGCTAAGTGAGCTCATGTCATACACACATCGCCAGATTTCTCTGCGACAATGACGTTAATTAGCGCGTGCTCCATCGCCAACAAGTCTCACATCCTCAACGATCTGTTCTGCACCGAAAAATTAAACTTTTTGTGGATTTTTGAGTTGTGGCAGCGCGAAAATGACGTCACTCATCTCCGTGAACTCTGTCCTCAAGACTGCTCTTTCTTCTCTGCTCCACGGACTACAGGCGGTGGAGGAACAGCTGTTATCTTCAAAAACACTTTTCGTGCCAAATTATATCCTCAAACTCCTACAGCTCATTTGAGATGATCGTGATTAAAATTGGTCGAGCTCTACCAGTTTATGGAATTCTGGTCTATTGCCCACCTGGATCTACTTCATCTTTCCTGTCCGACTTTCAGGATCTCCTATCTTCAACTATTAAACTAGACAGGATAATCATTGTTGGAGATTTCAACATCCACACTGAGGATCTATCTAACTGCTCCACTAGGGAGTTCCTAAACATGATGAACTCTTTTAACTTCTCTCAACACGTGTCTGGTCCCACTCACAGAGCAGGCCACACCCTGGATCTGGTCTTTTCCTACAGACTTCTTGTTGATAAGCTGCAGATTAATGATGTTGTGTTCAGTGACCATAAGTCAGTTTCTTTTCATATTACACCTAAATTCTGAATCTCATTCACCAGTCTCTGCTAAGCAACGACGTATTATCAACAGTTCTACCATTTTAAATTTCTCCTCCCTCTTTGACTTTGTACCTCCTTCCTCTGATGACGTAGAGCTCCTTACCAACTCATTTAATGATCACTGCCTCAAAATCCTAGATCAGGTCGCCCCTTACAAAACCAGCCGCAGTTCCAGTGCCTCTAGTTCACCCTGGCTGAACAACCAGATTCTTGATCTTAGACGCTCCTATAGAAAAGCGGAACGACGGTGGAAGAGGACAGGTCTGGTTGTTCATCGCGAATATTTTAAAGAACTTCTCGAGTCATACAACGAAGCTGTAGAAAATGCCAGGTCTTCTTTCTTCAGCAACCTCAAATGTCAAAATAAGAATAATCCTAAGGTTTTGTTTGACACCATCTCCAGTATCGTGTCTTCTCCTCCGCAGCAGGCTCAGCTATCTTCAGCTGATGACTGTAACAGATTTCTCCACTTTTTTGCCAACAAGGTGCTGAATCTGAGATCCAGCATTCCACAAGCACCCCCCCCCCCCCCCCAGGAGGGGAGGCCCCCCAGTGCTCCGAGTCTTTCACCTCCTTCTCCCCAATTACACTAAATGACTTAGCCTCAATAATCAGTCAGATGAAACTCTCATCATGCTCTTCAGACATCTTACCTCCCTCTGTTTTAGTCGGGTCCCTTGCCTCTATCAGTCCATCTCTGTTGACTATAATAAACAGCTCACTGAGCCAAGGCTGTGTTCCATCTTACTTTAAAAATGCAGTAGTGACTCCTCTCTTAAAGAAACCCAACCTTGACGCCAGCTCCACCAGTAACTTTAGGCCCATTTCTAAGCTACCTTTCATCAGCAAAGTACTTGAGAAGGTTGTTGAAACCCAACTCAGATCCTGGTTTTCCAAGTCAAAGATCTCTGACCCCTTCCAATCTGGCTTTCTGAAGCAGCACTCTACTGAGACTGCTCTAGTAAGGGTGCATAATGACCTCCTGATGGCTGCTGATGCAGGGAAATGCACTGTCATGGACCTGCTTGACCTCAGTGCAGCTTTTGACACTGTAGACCACAACGTTCTACTAAACAGGTAAAAGGCCCTGGCTGGGATTTCAGGTTCTGCTCTAGACTGGCTCTCTTCCTATCTCACTAACAGAACATTCACAGTGAAGTCCGAAACATTCTCTTCAGATACTGCCTGTCTAACATGTGGGGTTCCACAAGGTTCAGTTCTAGGGCCTCTACTATTCGCATTCTATATTCTTCCTCTAGCTGGCATCATTCAGTCTTTCCCAGACATCTCCTATCACTTCTACACTGATGATATTCAGCTCTATATGTCCTTTATGCCACACCAGTTGGACAGGCTGGCCACCCTTGTACTCTGCCTGAACCAGATCAGTAACTGGCTGTCCAGCAACTTTCTTGTCCTCAATGCTAACAAGACAGAGACCCTGATCGCTGCACCCCCGGAACTTCAACCGAAAATCGAGCAAGAAATTGCCTCCTTTTGCCCATCAGCCAAGGCCAACATTAGAAACCTAGGAGTTATTTTTGATCCAGTTTTAAGTTTAGACTCACACGTCAAAACCATCTCCCGCTCTTGTTTCTTCCAACTGAGAAACATTTCAAAAGTCCGTAAACTGGTTTCTACTGCAGATCTGGAAAAAAATCATCCATGCCTTTGTGTCATCACGCTTAGACTACTGTAACGCTCTTTTTACTGGTCTCAGCAAAACCTCCCTCTTACGCCTTCAAGCCATCCAAAATGCAGCAGCCAGACTCCTAACCAAATCCAGCAGACGAGCTTACATCACTCCAGTTTTACAGTCCCTCCACTGGCTCCCGGTAGAATATAGAATACAGTTTAAAGTTTTAGTCCTGACCTATAGAACTCTTAACAACCAGGCTGCAAGCTACCTATCTGAGCTTTTATCCCCACACACCACCTCTCGGAACCTTAGGTCCACATCTGAAAACCTCCTGGCTGTTCCTCGAACCAGACTGAAAACCAAAGGGGACAGGGCCTTTCAGTCTATTGCCCCCAGACTTTGGAACAGTCTACCTTCAAATCCCCGTCTCTTGAAATCTGTAGAAGTCTTCAAAAAACATCTTAAAACTCACCTTTTCATCCAGGCTTTCCCCCGCTAAATATTCTAAAAGATGGCTTTGTTCTTGTTCACCTTGACTTTGTTTTTACTCCTTATTTTGGTTACTATTGTTGTCACTGCTATTGTTTTTATGATGTTTTTATTGATTTGAGGTATTTGCCCTGATTTTACTCATGTTGTACAGCGCTTTGAGATTTATATCTGTGAAAGGCGCTATATAAATAAACTTTACTTACTTACATATACAGTATGTGGAAGGTGATGTGGTGTCTGAGCTAGGATTGCTGTTAAAAACAGTCAAATATAATAACAGTGCTTTAAAATGATTGTTTATTAAATAAAAGCAACAACAATCTGTACTCTCAGCACGCTGCCATCTTATATTAATTGAGCAGGGAGTGAGGTGGTGGGTGCTCCAAGACTATATTTGCCTTGGTCCCCAAATGCCTTGATACGGCCCTGGATGTGGGACTGACTTCTGGGGTGATCTGATTCTATCACATGTATAAATATTAAATGCTTATATATTATTGCTTTTCACTGGTAAAAATGTGTATTGGGGATAAATCTACCTACTTTTTTTCTTGTTTTCTTTGGTTTTATTTGAATGATTTCCGGCCCTTTCTCTCTCTAACCTTCCTGCATGCTGCATGTTTTCTCCGTCTTCCAGAAAAACTGTAAACTAGATTTCCTACTTTCTAACTAGTCAGCCAAAGGGATCTACCGAACGCAAAAAATAATATATATTTTAATATGTGCTGCGCTCCAGCTGCAATGAGTTGAAATCATCGGGGCACAGATGATGAACTTAGCTGAAAATTACATGAAGTACCAGAGAATATGGGCTGATAGAAATGATCGCAAACGAATGACTTTGTTTTGGTGGAGCGATTTTGTGAATATAACAGCGGCCGTGCGCAGGACGCAGCTGGAGTATTTCAGCCATTACCGCTGCGTCCTGTCCGCTCATAGAATGCCCGCAAAGCTGAGTCCATAAATGACGTCATATATGTGGATACTGGATCTTTTTTCAGGCTTCCTGCAATTTGAATTTTTAGGAAATCCACATCTTGATTCTGGGTTTAAAAATACATTGTAATCACCGCGTTACTGACACTTGTACCGAGTAAATATTACCATTTTCTTTCCCTGTAATGCCTTACATTACCACATTACAGCAAAAGCAATGCATTACAGTAATTAATTACTTTTGTACCGTGTTACTCCCAACACTGCACACGGACACATCAGGATCTCAGCTTTCATGGAAAGAAACTGGACTTTTGAAGTCTTCAGCAACAAGCCCTTCATGGGTTTACCAGTAGAGTCTTAGGTGTGTTTTGTCATCACATGACCCCATTTTTAGTTGAAGAAGAAGAAACTATTTTTTAGATAACGCCTCTAAAGATAGAAATCCCGGTGTGTGTCAGTTCAACTGTTAATGATGTAAATTCATGGATGAAAGGCAGATTTTCAAGAATGTTAAGAATATCTATATCTATCTCTATATCTATGCAGATATAGATATAGAATTGTATTTTTATTTTATTATATTATAATGTTACTTTGACATATGTGGTCTTGACTCCCACACAGGGCAACAGCACCACCGTGGTTTATGATCACGCTTCAAAATCGCACTTCAATAGCTTTTTAGACTGGAACATTTCTAGCGATTTTGATCATATTTCACCCATAAAAATGCCTTCCACTGTTGTCCCTTTGTCCCATTTTAAAATAATTTATTTATTTCAGATTGGTTCATCAATTCCCAACAGACCATGCACCATTTTTTTCTTTTTTTGGTGAATTCCCTGTTTACCTCTTTTTCCAGTCATGCTGTAGCGTGGAAAGCCTGGCAGACTTCTCTGAGGTCCCAGAAGGAGGCCATCTTTCACCCACTGCACAGTCCCCGAGGCCCTCAGGACCTCACACTTCAGCACAGCTGTGGCTCCCATCCGCACAGTCAGGTTCCTGGGCTCAGTTCTGAAGGCCTGCTGGGCACGCGTGCCTGGAGGCACAAAAAAGGAATGTGATTGGAGTTAATGTAAAGAGATCGAAGGGAACGAGGCCCGACTGTGTGCAAAAATCACTATCAGAGAAATAAATGAAGCAGATAGAGCACGACATAAACACACACCACAGGGATGCGGTCCTGTGATGTTTTGTCTGAGGAGGTACTCGTTTGTGTGTGGCCACATTATTCATCCCGGCATATGTTATATTGATGGTAAACTGCAGTGATACGGGTCTGAAAATGAGTCAATAAAGTAATTATGGTAAATTAAATCCCCCCTCAGCCATGCAGATAGAGTATAGGAAGGAGTAAAATAAGAAAAAACAAGAGCTGTGGAGATCAGAGACCTTATTCACCTGTGGTTTTCCTTCAATGTCGATGTCCCACTTGCTAATTCCTCCTGGGAAGAGTAATGATTATTACTTTAATCCCCCTTGTTTGTCATACATAGTGTTGGCCATCCTTCACCCAGACTGTGAAGGGAAATTCATTGGTTCAGTGCGTTTGAATCAGGAAGGTAACCTTAAAGCAAGCCAGCCACCGGCCTTCAGCACTGGGCTTGGGATTGTATGATTACCTCACACGGGTTTATGAATAAATTCACTTCAAGGAGCCCAGTGCAAATACTTGATCTAATTAGTGGCTAAAATCAAAGCGTGAGTCTCGTTGAAACAATGCCCTACAGAGAGGCCGGGCCAATTCCACTGGGCTACTGAAGTCCTGACCTTCATTGAAGCAATGACCAAGTTGTTTGTGAAGTGCATGCTCTGTTGCATCTGACAACATGAGTGAGAGGCAGAGCTCCCAGATCAAGGCTGAACCAGTCACCTCACGTCAAATATGAAGGGCAAGATTGGCCATTACAGAGGATGCATACAAACAATCAAACACTGGAGCGCATTTGCATACAGTTTACATAAATGAATACTCAACGCTGATCTGCAGCGGCTGGGTTTTCATAGGAAAACTCCTCTTTACTGGTATATCGCTGTTTTTCATGTCCTTATTGCAACATTCCTACAAGCTGAATCCTTGTCTCATATTCCAGCTGATCAGACAAAACCAAACAGGATTTCTGTCCTTTCACACGACTTTAATCTAAAAAATGTCCTTTCACACAAAATCTGTTTCGAGGGCCTTTACGTCATCTTTACTTTACAAGTAGACAAGTACTTACATCAGGGGTGTCCAATCCTAGTCCTGGAGGGCTGGTAACCAACAGGTTTTGTGGTTTTTCTGCTTCAACACGCTTGATTAGCTGGTTGAATCACCTGTGCATCAGCTCATCAGGCTCTGCAGAAACCTGTTAATCACCTGCTGATTGAAATCAGGTGTGTTGAAGCGGGTTAAAACGAAAACGTGCTGGATACCGGCCCTCGAGGACCAGGATTGGACACCCCTGACTTACATGGTGGTCAGAAGTCCACAGAATTCCCATTGAAATCCAACAGTGGTTCATGTTTGATTAACGGAGGAATAGTTTCCTGTTTTGCATATTTTAGACAGAAGACACCATAGAAACATAAACATTAGCCCAACGTGTACGACCCAGACTCAGAGGCCTGTAGTCTCAGTGCTGCAGGTTAGCAGCAGCCAGACCTTGCACGCCGGCAAACAGATTCTCCTCACACACGAGTGTTTTTCCTCTAAACCTCGATGAGTTTCGGCCTTTCTTTGTCTTCTAATAGATGTTTTCTTGTCCATTCATAGCAGGACCACTGTCCACCACGTTTGTCTCTGAGGGTTTAGTTCCTGGTGTTTGTGTTTCGTTCTAAAGATGTTAGCGCTGTAATTCAGCCTCACCTCTGCTCCCCCCTTCTGGCTCGTGTTTTGTCACCCAGTCCTTTGCTGTGTGCATCTGCACTCCAAGCCTTCTGCTCATTAGTTTCTTGTCTCGTGTCTTTAGTATTTTTAGCTTGTGCCATCTTTAGGGTTGCTTTTTTTTTTTTTTTTTGCTTACTCTGTATTTTTCTTTTTCTTGTGCTTTTGTTTACAGCTTGGATTTCTGGATTTCTTTGTATCTGCCAAGTAAAGTTCCCTTCCTATTGCTGCCTGTGCCTGCCGCCTTTGAGTCCTCGCTCATATTGAAATAAACACTCACTTGTGCTACTTTCACTTACTTATATTCTGTATATTTGCAGTTATTTTAAAAATAAAATGAAAGTAAAAGTTGGTATTTAAACCCATAGAATGCAACGATCCTTTCGTGTCTGTGGTCAAAAACAAGCGTTCTCTTCTTCTTCAGATTTGACGCAGATTGTGAAAGCTGCTTGAATCTTTTGTTGTTCAGACAAGCATAGTTTTGCTAACAGGGATGGCATTTCTACAACTCTGGATTCAGATGAAAGAGGTCAGCTGTATCAATCTTTTCTTTTGTGGAAACAAACAAATCAAGGTTTTTGCTTTTATTTGCTTTTTATTCTTCTCCAAATCCTGAGGAGAAATCAGATCAATCAGCCACTTAACACCAAGCACCCCCTCTCTTTTAATAAATTCTCCAAGCTGTGTGGATTCTGTTTCCTTTCAGGAGATGCATCAGACTGTTTGCAGCTCAGCGGCCTCGGACTGCCGTGCTCTTTCGAGCTGCAGCAGCTCCTGCCTTGCTGTTGTAGCGGAGTGCAGTTACCATGTGGTGGGTGTGATAGGTGGGTGGTAAGTGTCAGAGCCGTGTAAAAGCCAGGTGCAGCTTGTAGCAGTAGAACACGGTAGTAACAACAGGTTACTGGTGATATGGTACACAGCAGCTTTCTGTGCTGGACAAGATGCTTCTTTGTGTTCAGAGAACAAGATCTCCCTGCTTTCTTTCTTGCTTCTTTTATCCTTTTGCTTTTGTTTTGCTGAACAATCAGCAGCTTAGAAGCATTTTCCTCACATGAATAATTCCACTACTAAAAGCGGTTTCCCCCTTCACACAATCACAGCGACAGGTGGCCAGGTTAGCCTCGTTAGCCTTTAGCATGTCTGTCTGAATGGAGACGTGTGGCTGCACATAAGTATCGACCCAACACTGACTCTTCATGTACCGGATACTGCGGCAACATCATGGTTGTGGGACGGTTTGTTTTGACCTTTGGTTTGTTTCCATCCCCCTCGCCTGATTGCTTCCACCTGCGAGGACAGTGCTGCCGCTCACTGCTGCTTCCCAGTTTCTTATCAAGGCTGCAGCAGAAACGATGGATCGCTCCGATGCTGGAGTATGTTTGACACTTAACTAGCGAGTATTTTCCAAGTCACCAGGGCTTTGCCAAGCTTCAAGCTTGCAGTCTGGGTCGACCTACCTAGAGCTCATGTCTCTCCCTCCATTCTGCCCCTCAAAAACTCACCAGCCCTGTCCATCCTTCAACACACAACCACAACCACAGTAAGGATCTCTGAGCCCCTCCTTGAGCCACCTCAGCACCATCCCAGCGGCTCCTCCATAACCCAACCCCCCTAACCAGGTAAAACTACCTCCAGCAGTATCAAACCTCACCAGATGTGTTTTGTTCACCTCTTCTCTTCTCCTAGATGACATCCCGCACCATTCCTTCCACCAATGTCGCTATAAATGAACATTCCTACCACCTGTGTCCTGACTTTGTCTGCATTTGGGTCTAACAAAAGCCACAAACATGACAAGCAGCAGAACCAGGATGTCACGGATTCATCAGTCAGGCTGAACTTCATGGCATGAATGCAACAACATTTAAACTAGGGATGTCCCGATCCGATCACATGATCGGAAATCAGCCCGATCACGTGGTTTCTGACTGATCGGGACTCAGGCCTTACTTCCTGATCCGGACTCGGATACTGGGTTCAAATTACAGGAGAGCAACTTGGTTCTACTTAAAGTTTGTCAGGCTCCGCTGTTGTCCTTAACTTACACACCCAGAAGGAGCCCAAAGAGATCCAGTTTCTACCTTTATTATATTATTTATATGGACTCAGCGTAGCGGGGATTCTTCTGAGCAGAGATGCCGAGAGCGGCAGGCAGACCGCTGATTATTCATGAACTCCAGCTGTGTTCTGCACACGGCCACAGCAACATTTTCTAAGTGGCGTCACCAAAAAACATATATAATTAACACACAGTAATTCGTGTCCGTTCATTGTCTCTCTGGTAAGCTCTGTCTGTGTTTGGGCATGACGTGTGGACGCGCTCGCGCTGCAGCGCTCGTCACTGGCGCAGCCGGGCAGCGCAGCCACACTCCGCTTCTTTTACCGTCAATAGATCAATTAGATCTGCTAGTTATAAAGTGACTTGTGAGGTGAAAAAGAAGGAAGCAGGCAGGAGTTTTTCTGGAGGACTGGGAGATGCAGGAAGATCAGAGACAGACAGGACAGGAAGGTCAGAGACAGACAGGACAGGAAGGTCAGAGACAGACAGGACAGGAAGACCAGAGACAGACAGGACAGGAAGATCAGAGACAGACAGGACAGGAAGATCAGAGACAGACAGGACAGAAAGATCAGAGACAGGACAGGAAGATCAGAGACAGACAGGACAGAAAGATCAGAGACAGGACAGGAAGATCAGAGACAGATCAGAGACAGACAGGACAGGAAGATCAGAGACAGACAGGACAGAAAGATCAGAGACAGGACAGGAAGATCAGAGACAGATCAGAGACAGACAGGACAGGAAGATCAGAGACAGACATGACAGAAAGATCAGAGACAGACAGGACAGGAAGATCAGAGACAGACAGGACAGGAAGATCAGAGACAGGACAGGAAGATCAGAGACAGACAGGACAGAAAGATCAGAGACAGACAGGACAGGAAGATCAGAGACAGACGGGACAGGAAGATCAGAGACGGACGGGACAGGAAGATCAGAGACAGACGGGACAGGAAGATCAGAGACAGACAGGACAGGAAGATGAGAGACAGACAGGACAGGAAGATCAGAGACAGACAGGACAGGAAGATCAGAGACAGACGAGACAGGAAGATCAGAGACAGACGGGACAGGAAGACCAGAGACAGATGGGACAGGAAGATCAGAGACAGACAGGACAGGAAGACCAGAGACAGAAAGGACAGGAAGATCAGAGACAGATGGGACAGGAAGATCAGAGACAGACGGGACAGGAAGATCAGAGACAGACAGGACAGGAAGATCAGAGACAGATCAGAGACAGACAGGACAGGAAGATCAGAGACAGACAGGACAGAAAGATCAGAGACAGACAGGATAGG